CACAGAACAGTCTTCCATTTTGCCACACTCCATTTTAAATGACCCCTGGCCCAGTGCAAACGTCTGAGCTTGTGGAGCTTGCTTAGAAATGGCTTCCTCTTTGCACTGTAGAGTTTCAGCTGGCAACGGCAGATGGCACGGTGGATTGTGTTCACTGACGATGCTTTCTGGAAGTATTCCTGAGCCTATTCTGTTATTTCCTTGACAGTGGCATTCCTGTTTGAGATTCAGTGACGTTTAAGGGCCCGGAGATCATGAGCATCCAGTAGAGTTTTATGGCCTTGACCCTTATGCACAGCGATTGTTCCAGATTCTCTGAATCTTTTGATGATGTTATGCACGGTTGATGATGATAACTGAAAAGTCTTTGCTATTTTACGCTGGGTAACACCATTCTGGTATTGTTGCACTATCTTTCTGCGCAACAATGGTGGAATTGGTGATCCTCTTACCATCTTGGCTTCTGAGAGACATTGACACTCTGAGAAGCTCTTTTTATACACAATCATGTTGTCAATTGACCTAATTAGTGTTAATTGGTCTTCCAGCTGTTCATTATTTGCTCAATTTCCTTTTTCCAGCCACTTATTGCTACTTGTCCCAACTTTATTGGGATTTGTTGACACTGTGAAATTTTGAATCAACATATTTTTTCTTTAAAATGTTACATTTACTCAGATTAAACTTTTGATCTGTCATCTATGTTATATTACGAATAAAATATTGACATTTGCCATCTCCACATCATTGCATTTAGTTTTTATTCACAATTTGTGTAGTGTCCCAACTTTTTTGGAATCCGGTTTGTATATATTCAATTCAATTCAATTCAAAAATACTTTATTAATCCCAGAGGAAAATTATTTGTTGTTGTAACTCGTTATCCTCATTTCATAAAGAGATGTTATAGATACTGATGTCTGTTGACTGGAAGGATCTCTTGTAAAGGTCCATCCCACAGTGGATCCTAAGAAACTGGCTGCAGATGCTGTCCGATCCGTCCACCCAGACTCGGCTGGCCTCTCGGTTCTCCTGGACTGTAGGACCGCCTGAATGCCGGGCAGAACTCCTCCCAGAGCAATGGCCACTCCTCCCAGCAGTCTGCCAAGCTCCTCATAGCTGCAGACAGCCAACTGTAGGTGCTGAGGGACGATCCTGTCCTTCCGCTGTCATGAGCCGTGTTTCCTCCTAGTTCCAGGATCTCAGTGGTCAGGCACTCTAGCACAGCTGGCAGGTAGATGAGAACGCGTCCACATAACATTATTTTCAACTCATTTGAGAGTTGGGGCCATAGTTGAGATATTTGAGCTTTTGAGATGTTAATCAGCTGCTGTTGTTGTAGAAAACTGCCTTGTTGCCATGGTTACGCATCATAACAAATGTCCAAAACCAAAAAAGTCTCAGTAAAAATCCTTCCGGCTGCACAGCGTCCGATACCAGAGAAAACAATAATCCAAAAAATAGGATTTACATCCAGAAAACCAGGAATTAATGTTAATTAATAACTTAAGTTAATTAATTCAAGTTTCCAAAAGCAAAATGTCAGAATAAAAGTAACAGAGCTGCTCCAACATGCAGCCACCTTGAGCGGCGCAAATCTAGAACATATATATATATATGTGTGTGTGTGTGTGTGTGTGTGTATATAAATAATAAAATACTACTACTTACTACTTGTACTAGTATTCCTACTTCGTGGTTTTTCATTTATCGCGGGACTTCAGGTTATGGATCTCCCGCTATAAATGAGGGACTATTGTACTTGAAAAAATAAATAAAAATAAATGAATGAAAATAATAATATCATTACACATCTTTTCTGACATCTGACTGGACCTGACAGAAGGTCAGAGGCTTTGCTGCTGGAAATAAATGAGGTGGATTGATTGTACAGTAATTCACAGGTCAAAACTCATGAAAGAAAAAACTACACTTGTTATAATAAAGTGAAAAAAAATTGTCCTTAAAAGAAAATCTACCACCATCAACTATCTACCAATGGTTGGTATATTTGTCTAAAACTATAAATAATGCTTTCCTACAGATCACAACTGCATTTCATATTCTCGTGAATTAAAAGTCCATCATCATCTTCAGCAAATATGCACATAGATAAAACACAAAGTTTGTTTTCTCAGTCATCCAGGTATATAACAACAAAAAAGGTTGAATCATGTCATCTGGAAGTCCAGATGACATGATTCAACCTTTTTTGTTGTTATATAC